CTTGATTACAATCAATTCACTGGTAAAGTTTGAGGCTATTTGGCATATGGGAATTTTGAGTTCAGCTTTTTCCACCAGAAGAATGGACAAGAAGGTACCAGCACAACCTCTATGAAAAGTATTATCAGAAGAACCATCTGTAAAGACAAACATTTTATTTTCCTGGGAGAATGAGTTGATTGTATCAACTCCCTTTTGGCATAACATCAGAGTGGGTTCTTTCTTTGAATGCAGTTCTAACAAGCTGAGACGAATCTTACTATTGATAGGTTAATAGGTAGTTTTTTTTTTTTTGGGGGGGGGAATAAGGTTCCTGAAGAATATCTAGAGAGTAGTGATCAAGGGGGAAAATCTTTTCTGATATCTCTGTCATGATGCAGAGTTGATGATATGTGAAGTCTTGTTGATCCTTCCCAAAAGGCCCTGTTAGAGATATGATTCCTATTAACCTCTTCGCCATCTGTAATGCATGTAGCATGTTCTAATGAAATTTCTGCAGGGTGGCCGTAATGCACTTCAAATGTTCTTCAACATTTTAAAACTTTTAAGCCTTTAAAACACTTTCTAAATATTTACTTGTTTGAGTTTTTATATTTGTTTGTACTACTACCTCCTAGAGGGCAGCATTAATCAGGCATTCTATTTCTTATTGAGTTTACCCCGGGTTTTATGAATATTCGCACCGTTGCATAAGATGCAAGACAGTGGAAGATAGCTTCAACGCCTACTCAGCAGAAAAAGAGAAAAAAAATGAGGTTAAGTGGAAAAGACAAGAAAGATATATGTTTGATGAGTACATTCCATAATAACTGGATGATTGATATTGAAACATGGAAAAGAACTGTAAAAAAAAAAAATAATAATAATAATTGTAAAAGATTACAACAAAATGGGAGGAGTGAACCGCCTGGATCAGATGCTATCAAATTATCCTGCCGTGAGAAATAAGCAGAGATATTATTCCAAAATACTTATCTCAACATTTATTAGATGTGGCCGTATTTAATGCACATGTTTTGTACAAGAAAAGTAGTGTCAAATTAGATCACTTGTCTCTCAGGCTTGATCTTGTAAACAAAATTATTGATAAATATTAAAAGTCAACAACAAATGCACAGAAAGAGTGTTGTTTGAGCAGCTGTATCGTATCTTACCGAAAGGCGCTTTATAGACCACATTTCGCCTACTGCAATTCGGAAAGAGAACCAAGAAGATGCTACATTTGTTGTAGAAAAACATTGTTAGGGGAAAAGGTATGCAAAGAAATGCGATTGTAAAGAATGTGATGTAGGACTATGCAGTACCCCATGTTTTAGAGTTTAACATCCTGTGAAAATTTTATAAAGGAACAGAGTTATCTATTCAAGAAAAATGTTGGTACAATTTGAATATAATTTTCAAAATAATAATCATGTTTTATTTACTTCTAATTTTATTTAATATTCATTCATCTACTACGAATGGATGGAAAGTGATATCTGTACAGAGAAAACAACACTACATGCGGCAGAAAACAGAGGGCCTCTGAGAAAAATTTTCACAGACAGGAGAGGACGTCGAAAGGGTTAAAGCTTCTTAGCTTATTTGTGAATTTCACAGTTGCAAATTTACATCTGCTTTCCAAACACATAAGCCTGCTTTCTGCCTCAACTCTAATGTTACTTGTGGAAGACACAGCACCTATAATAATTTTAGATACTTTATATTGGACCGAGTCAAATTTTGCTGTAACTGTTTCAGATGCAGCAGCCCAAGTTGAGGAAGCATATTCTAATACTGGCCTAATTACTGTAAAGTAAGTCCTTTTCAAAGTTGGTGATCTTGAGCCTCAGTTTGTGCTGCATAATTTGCGAAGAATATTTAATTTCTTGATAACCTTATTTGGTGTGATCCCAATGGGCTTTATAAAATGAAGTTCAGGGTCCAGAACCACTCCCAGATGTTTGGATGGTCAACACATTCAATATTTATGGCATCAATACTATTGTTTAATGGCTGAGTATAAATGGTTTCAGGTTTTCTGAACAAAAAAATTGAGTGTTTCATTTCCATCTGTTGGTCTCCATCCTGACCCAGAGCTTTGTTTGGACAACTTAATTCCTGTGTTACCAGAAGCTTAGTTCCTTGGAGTGAAGTTGATATCAAATTAACTGTTCTTCCTTCCATCAGTGATCTAAGGAAAAGTATCTGAAATCTTAAAATATTAAAGTTTTTTCGAATACCTCTTTTGAGATGTGGATTGCTCTGGGATACTGCAGATATATAGAGCTTTAGTTAGATAAAAACTGGATTATATCACAATAATTTATGGAACAACAGTCTACCTTGCTGAAACTTGACTATTCACCATCAGGCTGTGCTGATTTGCTCTGAGGTATTTAGGATATCTTCAGTGTAGAGTGTAGAATGCAATGAACCTTCTTTACAGCTGAGACATGATCAACTGTCACTCATCTACTATTTCAGCATAATATCACAATTTTCTCATCCTGCCTGTTGCTATTTCTTCATGACAAAAGTAAGTTTTATCAGGTGCAGCCTTCGTGCATACTGTTTTTTAACCTTAGCATTTGGACACTTCTTGAAAAATATGGCCTGGATAAGTGTCAAGTTAACATTTTTGACGTCGCTGCCTTGCAGGAGTTACGAGTCCTGTTTCTGAATGCATTTACACACTTTGAGAAGAAATATATAAAAAATGTCTTTCATAGTCAAATGTTTCAAACACACTGAATACTTTAATTACTCTTCTGTTTATACTAATGATTTCAAATCAGAAAGTTATGTTGGATTGGCCTTTGTATGTGGAAATAACGATAAAGTTTGCCTGCATGATATCTGCTACCAAATATGCCATTAGACAAAGAATACTAACAATTTGGAAGCAATTCTGGGATACACAAACCTACAGCAAGCTAAAGAGGGTGAAACCAGGGATAGAATACTGAAAATCAAGTAAAAACCGAAAGGAGGAATTTGCATTAACTCATTTACGAATAGGGCACTGGAGACTCGCTCATGAGCATTTACTAAAAGGGAAAAGTGATCCTATTTAAATTAACTGTGGCACTCGGCATAATATCCAGCTTTTAATAATTGAAGAGTATTTTAATAATTGCATCTCATTAACGAATTTAATAGGGGAATATCCAGTTGTAAATATTTTTTTAATTTTTAACTGAAGCCAAAGTTTATCACTCGTTTTAACATATGCTTTGCCTGCATTTTTCATTTATTAGCTTGCATTGATAATGTTATCATAATTTTTTCCTGGATTTTATCATTGTCTTACTTCACTGTAATGCATATATGCTTTCAGATTTTAAATAGTTTAAGATTATATTTTAAATATTTATACTCTCTATTTAATTTTATTAACCATGTGTCTGGTGCCTATAATCTTATCAGTTTAGTGCAAAAAATGCAACCAATCAACCAACCTTGTTTTATTAATGGTCCGTAAAATTACTTAATTTCTATGTACAAAAGTGTGTGCAAACCCTGTCTAAAGAAAAACAGAAAAACAATTAAATGAATGATTTGCTTTAGTCCATGTGATAAAAATTAATAAGCTGACTGGAAAAAGCTAGAAAAAATATTCTTTTTTTTTTTTTTTTTTTTTTTTTTTTTTTTTTTTAATGCCATAAAAGGCTATTAGAATTTTTAATAAATAGATATGTATTAAGATTGTTGTGTGTTAGTGTTAACACATGGACTTCCAGATGAGTTTATAAGAAAATTTCCTTTAAGCCATAAGCACTGCTGTAACATATGTCAATTTTTTCCAATTCTAGGACTTTAGGTCTTCTGAAATGAAACATTTTGAGGCATGCATTCAGTTTAAAATCGTTCCTCCAGAACAAAGTATCTAGGAAAGGGTGCAAGATTCAAAAGTTATTTTTTCTTCTCCAAATATTTTTTCTGTAGTAGTAGTTTCTGCTGAAATTTTTCTGTATTAAAATTATTGCTTCAGCTTTTTGCAAAATATAAAAGAAAAATGAAAGATTAATTTTTAAGTCAATCATATAGTGATTAAGGAGAAACATTGTGAAAAATTCGAATAGTAGCATTGAGGAACAGAAAGATAATTGTAAACAAAATTACATCTTCAGATTCTGGTTCGAATACTGATAAGTGCAGTGATAATAAATGTGGTGTACATATTTTACAGTAATTGCAGTAATTGGTTATTTAGGAAGATAAAGAAGTTGGTACTGAAGAAAGTACAATTCAGTTTACTGAACGGAATGAATTTAGCTAAGCAACAATCGTTTTCATTTCTTTCTTTCAACAGTCATTTTTTCAAATGCCTACTTTACCTCGTAAATATCCAAACTGTCATCTGAATACGGATAGTGTGGCCTAATCAGAATTTTTGCAGGTGACAAAGTGTTAAACATTTTTGTGTATTATTTATAAAGGCTTGGTATTTAGTATGATAAAAATGCTTTGAATTATTTTCAGTTCTTGTTTATTAACTGAGCCCAAATAATTTATATGCTCACATCTACCTCTGTTGACAAAAAATCAAAAACTACTAACATGTAAGTTTAATGTGAAAAACAGCTTAGTGTGTCAAATTTCACTGTAGCAGACTGGAATAATTATAAGATATAAAGTCTATGCTACCAAAAAGAAAAATGGTCCAGATTTGCTGATTGAGATGAATGATGAAAGTTTATTTATTAAATGTAAGAATAAAGCTGTATGTTTTATAGGTATTTAGCATCAGCCAATGATTCTGAGACATTTAGTATCAACCAAGTTTAATATATTGTTATCCTTAGAAATCTGTTCTACAGAGTTAGAAAAAGCTGGGTTACAGCTTCAAGTTAATTATAAATATAAAAACATCATATTCTTTGCTGCTTTGCAAGCGATGAGAAATTATTTTGCACCTGCATAGTAGATAGTTATTTTCATTTTGTCTTTAATTTAATAAGAATTTCAATATATTTCAAAATAGATTTTAATGTTTAAATTAATTTTTTTTTTCCTAGCTTAGCTGTACAGCAAAACTTGCAGATGATTCTGATTTTTCTCTTGTCTTGAATTTAGCTCATGAAGTTCAGCCTGATCAATTACGATATAAAGTATTACCGTCAAAGGTAAATAACATAAAATTTTATTTTCTTCAAGTAACGTTATGTTTTTTAAATATCTAATGTCTTTGTTATTTCCATAACTATCACAATTTTCAAACTTTAAAATATATTCATTTTGTGAAAATATTTCTTTCAGCAACACATACATGTGTACAACTGTCTTCTTATCAAAACAGAGAATTATAGAAATCATATATATATAATTATATAATCTCTCAAGAGATTCCTTGAAAATATTATTTATATTAAACGATATCATAATCTGTTGTGTTTTTATATTCATATTTTGTGCTTTTGTATATTTTCTTTGAGATATCTTTTTATAATTCCTGAGTAATTAATGGTATACAGCTTTAAAAATAAGTTGGTATTGTTATTTGAAAACTGCCCAGCAGTGGCTGGTTACTTAAGTTATTGAGCAACTGTTGTTTATTTTTGATTCTATGCTTGATTTAAAAAAAAAAAAAAATAAGCAGGTTGTAAAAATACAGTTGAGGGTTTTTTTTTTTTTTTTTTTTTTACGTGAAAACAAATCAATTAAAAAAAAAAAAAAAACTTTTGTGAAGCATTTGTGGAGCAATTCATAATGATAGCAATGAAGCTGTACACTCCGGCGTTAATTTCCCCCTCACCCCCCGCTAACTGAAATTGGACTTGATCCAAAAAGAAGGAGAAACATTCTCTCCTTGTATGACTCACTTCTCGCGTTATGCAATGAACAGTAAACAACGCTTGTAATCATCGCTATTTTTTTCTTCTAATACATAATAAATATGTTATTTTGCGTTTGCTAATATAATGATCGTGTTCCTTACATCGGCAGCTTGGATTACACTTTATTAAGGTAAGAACGTTTTTTTTTTTTATTATTATTATTTAAAGAAAAAGAAATCCTCGTGCACCACAAAGTATCACACGAGACTTACAAATCGTAAGTGAAAAAGGCAGAATAGTAAGTAATATCATCAGTTTTCAACAATACAATGAAATCATAACAAGGAAAAAAAAAACACAAGTAAATACAAAAGTATAAAAATGTATAAAGAAATCATTAACAGTGTTTAAAATAAAAGTCAACAAAATCATTGAAAGCTCGGTAGGCCGAAATCGAGGATACAAAATCATAACATTTTGCTCACACTAAGATTGCAATTACACAAATTGGAAGATGTCAGCTTAAATCGTTCAAGATAAACATTAAACTTACCATGTCCAGACAAAAATTGCGTAACTTTAAAATTGAGCAACAAGTCCTTACTTTTCAGTCTTTCAAAAATAGTTGGGAAGAATGCTTTTGTAACAGATCCCTTATCAGAAGAGATATAATCACAGTTCCACCGCTCAATCATTTTAGCTTTGAATGTTTTTTTAAATAAGATTTTGGAATATTTACATCAACGTTAATATCATTTTTAGTTGCATTCTTAGCAAGCCAATCAGCTCTCTCGTTTCCATAATTACCCGAATGACCACGGACAAATGTAAAAAAACACTGAAATACCCCTCTTCTCCAGATCTCCATCTCCAAGAGACTGCTGTATATTGACAATAATATCATTACATAAGAGGTATTTTTAAGAGACTCCAGGGAAGAGAGTGAATCCGTACAGATTAAAGTAGCTGGAACCACTTCCATTCTGGCTAATTATCCACTTGATTGCAAAATTAATACACAGAAGTTCAGAAATATATACAGTACATTCATTTCTAATGCAAAAATTGGTGACACTCAATTTCAATATCATCTTCAAAAATAACATAAGCAAAACCAATTTTATCATCAATCCTACTACCATCCGTATACAGCACAAATGAGAATGAATTAACATCAGTGTCCGTACTATCCAGAATCTGTACTGGTTGTCTTACAGAAGGATGTGGTAGAACAGACAAGGGCAATAAACGATCAAAGTGAGAATTGGAGTAATTTGCAAGACTATTCTTGTAATCTATAAAGGTCAGAATAAACAAATCTTGTGGTGGAAATCCGGCAAGAGAGAAAACAGCATTGTAACTAATAGTTTGGTAACCACTTATAACTCGCAGCAAAATTCGTCTTTGAACTCGAAGCAGGCATTTAGAGTTAATTTTCTTTTTTAGAGACAATCCCCAAGCTTTACATCCATATGAAATAAGGGGTACGATACCTTGTTTATAAATAATTGTGCTAACATTCGATTTAACACCAAAACTATTACAAGCAATTCGATTCAGCCCACGCTGAAGTCTCTCACATTTATTAGAAATGTAGGAAATATGCTTTTTCCAGTTAAATTTGCTGTCCAACAAAACACCTAGATATTTAATTTCATTCACCCTCTCAAGGGGATTGTCATTTAAAAGCAATTGATATCCTTCATAAGTAGTATTTTTTCTATCAATAAACATGGTCTTGGATTTTGCATGGTTAAACTTTAACTTAAAATCTATTGACCAATGATAAATGAAATCTATAACATCTTGGGCGAGACGAAAAGCTTTTTGCATTTCTTTTCCTTGAATACAAATCAACAAATCATCTGCAAAGGCAATGACTTCACAACTGAAGAGATCAGAAAGTTTCTGTAAGAGATCATTCATAATAATAATCCAAAGCTTGGGACCGGAAACAGAACCTTGTGGACAACCTTTTTGAGGTTGAGAAACACTTGAGGTGCCACCCAAAGAAAGCTCGACCGTCCTGTCTTTCAGCAAATCAGAAACAACATTAAACACATTTTGAGGTATCTTCATTTCTTTTAGTAAATTAAGAATAGCAGGCCACCATGCATTATCAAAAGCTCCTTCAATATCAAGAAAAATTTAAATAGTGTACAAACCTCTCATCTTACCCCTCTGTACAATGTTGCTAAGACGCAGAAGTGCATCCTCAGCACATTTTTGAGCAATGAAACCATATTGGTCAGCACTAAGAATATTTTCTTTATGTAGATGCCAAGTAATTCTGTTAGTAATTAGTTTTTCAAAACATTTACCTAAAGAAGAAAGAAGACAGATACACCTAAGATTATTCACATGTGGAACAGTAAAACTGTGTTCTTGTTTTGTTTTTGGGTATCACAATAACAAGGGCGTTCTTCCAAGTTCGTGGAAAAGCACCAAGATTCAAACATATATTAAATAATCTATGAAAAACTGCAGGAAAAAGACGATGGAAGTATCTTATGGTTTTCATTGGGAATAGAGTCCGGGCCAGGAGACCTGCCAAGCCCTAAATTACGAATTACATCATCAACCTCGGCCTGCGAAAAAGGAGGATCAATCTGAGACGCATAACTACTGCGAGCAGATGAGCGCCACTGAGTATGAAAGTCGTTATCAAGTCTCACACAATCAGGAGGAAAAGCTTGATCAAGAATAGCATCGATAGTTTCCTCCAAGGAAGACGTAAAGTTACCGCTTGAAAGCCGAAGGCCCGAGATCTCGATCTTCCTCATAAAATTTTCTTTAATAAGTGTAAATTTTTTTTCCACACATTCTCATTATTGATATCGGAAAGAAACTTCCTCCAAGACTCTAATTTGGCCTCAATAAGCATTTCATTGTATTTTTTCCTTAAATCAAGGTATTTCCGCTTATACAAGTCCCTTATATCATTGCTAGTAGTCCTCTGGAACCTCCGTCTAGCCACGTTGACTCTCTTTCTCATAATGGAAATTTCCAATGACCACCAAGGTACTTTCTGCCTACAAGTCCTTCTAGTAGGCATAGATTTAATACATGCCCGAAAAATAACTGAAGTCATAAAATCTACAATCACATTAAGTGAGTCAGTGCTTGAGCAAGAATCCAAACCATTAATGATCAAAGAAATATACTGTGAACAATATTTTTCAAAATATCCCCAATTTGCTTTTTTTTTTTTTTTTTTTTTTTTTTTTATTAAACAAAATTCTACTGACAGCAATTAAAGAAGCATCAGAAACAGATAAGTCGAATTCAATCATTGCATGATCTGACAATGATTCACAGTCCGAGAGACACCAGCGGGTAACATTTGCTAGCAAATCAGCTCCCATAATTGTGACATCTATATAGCTTGATCCCTGTTCCGAACAAAAGGTAGGGCCACAGTCCTCATTGATCACATATAAGTTATAGGAGCTGACAAAATCTCCAAGCTTGTTTCCTCGAGCATCACTGTAGGGACTAAACCACAGTTCAGACTTACTATTGGAATCCATACCCCAAATAAGCTTTGCAAGATCCCTTAGCCTGGAAGACCCGACTTATTTTATGCAAATCAAATTCAATACATCGGGAGGGCTCAAAGTAGTATGAAAATAGAAAATATTTAGTATCTTTAAAAATAATATCAAGAGTCACCATATTATAATCCAAGAATCTCAAATCCAAAAAAGTAGGTAGAAATCCGGCTCGAACAACAATAGCAGCCTTTATGACCTCTGAGTTAAAATCATAGTATAACCTAAAGGAACTCGGAAAGCCAGGCATAAGACCATGATAAGAGTAAGGTTCTTGAATAAAAGCAACAGAAACATTGTTTACCTCCATATTCAAAACAAGTTGCTGAGTAGCAGCCTTACATCTATGTAAATTAATTTGAAACAAATTTTTAAATAGAATTATGACTATTATCCATAATTTTGTTCTTGCTATATTTTGACTTCTTATAAATTCATGACAAGAGCAACTTTCAGAAAAAGGCAAATGGCTTACATTTAATTTTTTTTCTCATCTTTTATTTTTTGATTGCGTCTAATGCAATTGATACAGACTTTCAAATTCTTATGTGGGCAATTTTTACTTTCATGTTCACGTGCACAGAAATAACAAGCGCGTAGATTTTTACAATGTTCAGCACGGTGATTATATCCTAAACAATTAAAACACCGATTAATCACGACAAAATCATCCACAGTACAGATGCTCCAAGAAATTTTTAGTCTACATTCCTGTAAAATACCTCTACACATGTCTGGATGCACCTCAACAACTAAATGTCTCGTATTTTGAAATTTCCTTAACGTAAATCGAATTCG